GGTGAACTTCTCCTTGTGCTTCAGCTCGATGAGCTGCGCCCTCCAGCAAGCCAGCTCTGCCCAAGCTAGCTGCGGCAAGTCGAGCTGGTCAAAGACGGCGCCGAAGTGCAGCAGCTTCATCGCCACGGCGTGCTCGCTCACTCCTATGTCCGTGGCCTGCAACTCCCCGTCCGCCAGGAACCTCGCACGCCGCTGCTCGGGGGTCTGGAAGTGCTCGGCGATGCGCGACAGCACGAACAGAGTGGTCCGCGGCCCGTTCTAGGGCCAGCCCTCCCACGACGACTCCTGCATCGCCTCCGCGGACGATCGGAAGTCCCGATGCCTAACGCCCAGCGCGGTGCGGCTGATGGCGAGCACCCTGGCGTCGCAGTCCGGCCGGGCAAGCCGAGCCATGACGTCTCCCAGCCTGATCTTCAAGCCCCCCGACTCGCTGAAGACGCCCTTGACGAAGTCGCCCAGCCCAAGGTCGTTCAGCTTCGCCAACTGCTCCTTCGGCGCTGTCGATCTTGGGGCGCAGGGGGCGCTGAGCCCGCCCCACCAGCATGCGAGCCTTGTTGATCGCCCCCTGGCTGCCGGCCCCGCCGCCGGCGGGGGCAGCCGCGGGGGGCGCGCCCGAGGCCCGCTGGATGTCCCGGGCGCGGGCCTCGGCGCAGCCGCCCAGGTTGGCGAGCTCGACCCACTCCACGTGCACGCTCACGCCCTGCGCGACCGCGACCCCCATCTCGCCGTGCGAGACGACCGGGTCGTGCGTCTCGGCGCCCAGCGGGAAGCCCGGGGCGGGGTCGGCCACCAGCCAGGCGCCTGTCCGGGCTGGCGGCGGGAGCGGGGCGGCCAGCGCGCCCGAGGCAAGGCCTGCCGGCTCGAGGGCCCCGTCGCCAATCGGCGTCGCGGTGCCGCCCCCCCCGCCACCGACGCCCTCGGCGCCCGACTGGGCGGCCGCCGCCGCGGGCAGAAGCTGCCTGCTCCTCAGACGCCGCGCCGGCCCTGGGGGCGGAGGCGCAGTAGCGGCAGAGGCCGCCGCGGCGAGCTCGGCGGCCCCGCCACCGTCGCCACCTGTGACCGCTAGCAGCTCCGCGAGGTAGGTGCCCCCCTTCTCGATCAGCGACCGCTCGCACGACAATGGGACGTCGCGGGCGAGGGTACGACCGTCAAAAAAGAAGTAGGCCACCTCCTCCGACGCTCCGGCAGGTAGCTCACGCCTAGGCGAGAAGAGGGCGACCCGCTCGAAGACCTCCGCGTCCGAGTAGATCTCGTCGTACACGTCGGCGTCGGGCGCGGCTATCACCCAGTGGCCTGCGCCTCGCCCGACGAGGCAAAATAATAGCCTCTCGTGAAAGTACCGGTCGCCGTGGCACTCGGCGAGCAGCCGGCCCCCCACGGCCAGCTCATTGAGGGCTGAGCGTGAGAGCGCCATGCGCCCTCGGCCTCTCCTGCGCTGCCCGGCGCGTCGCCAGCGCCAGCGCGGACCCACCCGCGAGTCCCGGCGTGGAGGCGCCCAGCTCCGCCTGCACGGCCGTCCGCCGGCGCGCCCCAGCGCCGGCCGCCAAGCGGCGCGCGTGCACCACCGCAGCTCCCACCAGCAGCCCGCCACTTGCGGCCGCCAGCAGCGCGAGGGGGCCCGCGGGCCCAGGCGCCCCGGTTGGGCACTCGCAGCTCCCGCGCGTGACCGCGGCGCAGGAGAGCGCGGGCGCGGCGCGCGCGAGCTCGGGGCAGGGTGCCGGATCCCCGCAGCCCAGCGAGGGGCGCGCAGGGCACTGCCCCCGCGCCTGGGAAAGCACCACGGCAGATATTGGCAGGATATCGCGCACAATCTGGAGGATGTCGCGGAGCTGGTTCATCCAATGAACGACTTGAGCACAGACGCCACTGGCGATGCAACGGTGGCGGAGGACTCACTCACTGGACACGATGCCTGTTCACATAACTACAATGATGTTGATGATGATGATAATGGTGACGATGATGGTGTCGCGATGATGATGATGGTGATGATGATGATGGTGATGAGGTGATGATGATGATGGTGTCCCAATGATGATGATGTTGATGACGTTAATGACGATGACGATGATGATGTTGATTGTGGGATCGATGGTGACATCGATAGCGAGATCGAATATGAAACCGAATGTGAGATCGATTGTGCAATCGATGGTGAGATCGATTGTGAGATCGACTGTGAGATCGATAGTCATGTCGATTGTGAGATCGATCGAATGAAATAGATCGAGCGATATCGATTGTGAGATCGACCGAGTGAGATCGATCGAGCGAGACCGATCGCGAGATCGATTGTGAGATCGATAGTGAGACCGATCGAGTGAAACGTCGGCCCCCCCTTGGACCTCCTTATCACCCGAAGGGTGGTTGTGTAGGTAGCCCTATAGCTCTACAGCCCTATAGCTCACTAGCCCTATAGCCCCCTTGCCCTGATTGGGTTTTTCTCTGGCATCATATATATATATAAAGAGAGATAGAGAGATATAGAGAGAGGGATAGAGAGAGTGTGTGTTTCCACATTTCATGCAACTCTGCCAAAGAAGCCCCTGCGGCGCCGAGTGCATTCGCGCGTTCTTGGGGCGCGATCCGCGTCAAATGTCACCGCGCCGGTCACTCTCGCGCGTCGGCCGCGCGCGCATGTCGAACGCTTTCCAAGACCTTCAACGCCGACGCGAAGACGCCGTCATCGTCGCCGGCGCGATCAGCATCCACGCCGTCACTGGCCGCGCCGTCATCGCTCACGGGGCCGTCGCCAGCGTCGCCACTACCGCCGCCGCGCCCACCGTCGTCGACATTGCCGCGACGCAGCGCCCGCCCAAGTCGCCGACTCGCAGCGAAGTGCCCGCTGGAATGTGATCAGCGGCCAGCGCTGCCGAGGCTCGCGCCGGCACGCGCGGGCTGTCGCGGCCGCAGGGGCGCACCAGCCCGCGCCGAGGACTCATCGCAATCGCCGCCGCGTGGGGTTTACAAACCAAGTCTCGGGCGGGCGGGCGAGATGTTTGCGCGTGCAATGGGGCGGGCAACTTTGAACTGAACGTTGGTCGATTGCACCGCAGAGGCCCCCCTCTCTAACAAGAAAGAACATCCCCCCTGCCGCCCAGGGCTAACGAGGTAACTTCTCGCATTGCAAATTGCAAATGGTTCCGCCCCAATCGCCCATCCTAAATATAACTTCGCACCACCCTAGCCGGGCCGACATCGCACCGCCCCGCCACCCCGGTCAAATTGCGCGCGCGCTCTCGCGCATAAGAAATCATCAGTTTTCAAAAGATCCCGCGCAACAGATGGCACGAAAGTCGCGCGCGCGTCGTCGCGCGCGCATGCCGAAATCTCTCGCGTTATTATTATATACATGTACAGAAAACATTGTCTCGCAAAGGAGATATCAAAAGAAAGTTTGCGCGCAGGCTTTTGCGCATTCTTAATGCAACCATCGGTTGTTTCAACATGTTCGTAAAATGCAGCGAAACGGGTTCCCCGCGCGCGCCAAAATCGTTCGAACGCCCTCGCGCGCGTGCTCTCAACAGAACCCCCCGCGAAAAACTGGGCGAAGTGCACGCGCGCGTCGTCGCGCGAGCATGTCGAAATCAATGCAAAACCTTAGGGTTCGCAAGGATGTCAAAGACGAGCGCCCCGAAACCACATAGCAAGAAAAACGCATGGATTCGCAACCACACTTTGCATGCAGAAACCTTCGCTCGCGCTCTTGCGAATCCTCAAGGAAACTACAGGTTGCTCAACATGTCAATGGAATTCTGCCAAACGGGCCTCGCGCGCTGCATGCAAAAAATCATTCGAACGCCAGTGCGCGCGTGATGGGGGTGGAGGGGACGCGATCTGCGTCAAATGATACCACGACGGACACTCGCGCGCGCATATCCAACCCTTTCTAAAACTTTAATCGCCGACGCGAGGACATCGTCATCGTTATCGGCGGGCGTGATCAACATCTTCGCCGTCATTGGCCTTGCCGTCGTCAGCACCACCATCATTGCTGCTTTCAGAATCGTATCTACGGTTGTCGGCGTCGCCATGATACCGCGCCCGCCCAAGTCACCGACTCGAACTGAAGTGCCCGCTGAGAAGTGCCCAGCGGTCAGCGCCACCGCGGCCGCGTCGGTCGTGCCAAACTAGCTGGCCGGTGTGCCCGCGAGCATGCGCGGGGTAGCGCGGCCGCAGAGATGCACCAGCCAACGCCAAGCATTCATCGCAATCGCCGCCGCATGAGGTTTGCAAACCAAGTTGCGGGTGGGTGAGTGCGATGTTTGCTAGAACATGCAATGTGTCAACTCGCTCGTACAACTCAATTACACCACGTAGGTTCGACAACATATATTGCACAGCAAGTGTTGAAAAACACACACACACACACACTGTTTGGGGCCCGCGGTGGCTAACAGACACATGCATACATGCATACATACATACATGCATAAATGCACACATGCATACATACATATGTGTAAACATAGAGACACATGAACACACACACATACACACACATATATATATATATATATATATATATATATATATATATATATATATATACATATATATAAGGAGAGATGTATGTAGATACCCCTGCGCGCACCCCACACCCCCCGAGAGGCCACATGCGTAGAAAAACCCGACTCTGGATCCTCAGCTCTGATCTTCTCTTCTCTCGTGAAAGCGTAGGCGGAGAAACACCTGGCCTCTGGAAGCCAAGTTTCTGTTCATGCCCCACCCCCTTGGCGTCCCGAGTTGGGGGTGGCAGCAGGGGTGGATGAAGCGTCGATCGACGAATAGACGGGTCGGAGAATGGCCCCGCATCGCCGATGCATCGGCGATGCATTGTCAATGCACCGGCGACGTCGAGACGGAAAAAGACGTGTTCCCGATCGCGGCGCGTCACTGATGCACCAGCGCTGCTGACGACCCTCCGTCCCCGTCTGCTCCGGACCTGTCTTGGCGGCCTGGGTGTCCTCCCCCGCTCGCGACGAGACGGCTGGGCGATCCTTGAGCTGCAGTTCGTGCTCCTTCTTCTTCAGGAGCGCGATGGAGCGCGACTTCTCCTGCTGTTTCTCCTGGTAGACCCTCGCCTACCAAGGGGAAGGAGGAGTAGGAGAAGAAAGAGCTTCCCGCACGGGCACCATGTTAGGGCCCTCTTGGGGGCCCTCCTGGGGTCATCTTCCGGGCTATTGATCAAAAAGGGGGCGGCGTTTGTTCAACTCCCCCTGGCGGCGCCCTCAAAATCGCCACTTGGAGCCCTTGGGGGTGTACGTACATGTACCTGCGAATCTGTGAATATTTAAAGCAATTAAAACAAACGTTGCGATCCCAGAGGAAACCAGCCCACCCCCCAAACCGCCCCCAGGTGGCAAGGGGAAGGAGACCGCAAATGAGAAGGAGGGGGAGGCGGAGCGACCGACATGGCACAAGAAAATCAATAACCGAGCGCCCACGATAATAACGCCTCCCCCCTTTTAAGACCAGAGAACTGATTATCCCGGGCCATGACAGAGTTGGTCGAAGGAGAGGGGCGAGGCCGAACTCCATTATCGATGGGGAAAATGCAAATCGAAGTTGCTGTTGTCGTATGTTGGAAAGCAGCAGTATCACGAACATATGGGATGGCCATGGGCTTCTTACCATTTCAGATTTCCCAAGTCATGAACGTTTGGCACGGCTGTGTTATTTTCACCGCTTCAGTTTTCCCAAGTCACGAACATGTGGCCGGGCCATGGGATTCTCATTACTTCAGCTTTCCCTACCTCCGTACATGCGAATTGCAGGGACGAGAAATGCATGATCCCCCCCGAACCCGGAACAGTATTATCCCTCGGGGGTGATTCTAAGAGACATAGGTTTGCCATAGCTGTAACCCACACACTGTATTCTCCCGCTTGTTGTCGAGAGTACGGGATGGCCAAAGCCATTCCCGACTAATCTCTGACAGTCCAAACGCACCTGCAACATGCACATATCTATATTTATAGACTCCCCAATGAGAGCATGCCTCTGTAGAGGTCCTAGCGGATTCATATGGTTAGGTGAGGTTTGCCACCGAATTCCGCGGCCCGCCCGGGTGCCCAGGTGCCCAGCTGCCCGCGTGCCCAGGTGCCCGGGTGCCTTCTAGCCCTGTAGCCCTATAGCCCTATTGCCCTATAGCCCTATAGCCCTGTAGCCTTATACCCATATAGCCGCATAGCCCAATGGCCCAATAGCCCTATATCACAATAGGCCTATAGACATATAGCCCTATAGCCGTATAGCCCTATAGCCATATAGCCCTCGAGCCCCATAGCCCTATGGCCCTATAGCCCTTTAACCCAGTACCCCTATAGCCCTATAGCCCTGCAGCCCAATAACCCTATAGCCCCATAGCCCTATGGCCCTATAGTCCTATAGCCCTATAGCCCAATAGCCGAATAGCCCTATAGCCCTATTGTCTTATCACCTTATAACCCTACAGCCCTATAGCCCTATAGCCTTATAGCTCTATATACCAATAGCCCTATGTGCCCATAGCCCCACAGCCCAGTATCCCCATAGACCTATAGCCCTATGGCCCTATAGCCCTGAAGCCAAATAACCCGATAGCCCCATAGCCCTGTAGCCCAATAGCCCACTTTGATTGGAGCTTTTCTCAGGTATCACATATTTATATATACATGCCCCCCCGTGGTATGTAGGAATATTGTCGAGTGAACCATATGTGATCTCAGGGAAAGGGCCCTTCGATCAATGAAATGAAGTTCTGAATAAAGCCGAACTCTGCGCACACCCTTTCCACGCGCCGCCGCGGAACAACTCAGAGCCGCCCCCCGCGTGCGGACAACAACCGCTGCCTCTGATATTAAACCTCTCGGCCAGCTTGATGCCTCGAGGGTGGGCGCGCGGTGGAAGCTGAAGAGCCTCGGCCGGTGAGCGGCGGGGTCGCGAGACGGACACATCCACGGCCGCCTCACCGCCCCCCCCATGCCCCCATTCGCTCTGGACGTGGCCGTCTCGAGCTCTGCTGCCAGATCGGACGATGTCAGAAACCTAGGCGCATTGGCCCACTGCACCTAGAAACCCAAGTTGCCGCGGTCGTAACCAAAGCACTGACAGAAACTCCCCATCTACAAACATCCCCCCCTTCTCCTACATTTTTCAGCATTCTGGACAGGATTCGAACCAATGGAGATCAGGCATCCAACTTGCAGGAGGCCGCCAACTATGTTCCGACGCCGGCACCGGCAAGGGCCCTCCAGCCCATCACTGGCACACAGAGCCTCATTTGCCAAAGTATCGGCAAGGCAGATGGAGAGGAACGCAAGGGGAGCCTGAAGTGCAGGGCTGGCGATCTCCCCTTCGCCACTGCTGCCGCCAAAGCCTCGTTGACCTCCGCGCCGCTGACGGCGCGCCCGCGAGGTCCAGGAATGGCGGGCAGCTCTTGACAAAGTCTCACTGCCACCCTGCCTTCTCCCAGTACGATGCGCCCCGTCAGTTGCGCCGCGACACCTGAAGCACCCCGCGAGGAACTCCAGACGAGACATGCGCCCAACTCTCCGGCCCCCTGCCCGCCGCGTTGAGCTGGGCTGCGAGACGGCGCCGTCGGGCCTCGAGGCGGCGCGACCGGGCACCCTCGGCGCCTGCCTCGATGACCTCCTCCGACTCGTCTCCGGCAACGCGGGCGCCGACGGCCCCGCGCCCCCCGCGGGGCGAGACGGCGCCCCCGGCGCCGGGGGCGAACGGGGCAGGGGCGGGCCCGCTTCCCCTCGCCCTGCGCTTTCGCTCGCCCCCCGCTTTCGTTCGCCTCTCACCTTCGCTCGCCCCGCTTTCGCTCGCCCCCCGCCTTCGCTCGCCACCGCTATTGATCGTTCGCCCCCAACCTTCGCTCGCCCCCCGCTTTCGCTCGCCTCTCGTTTTCGCTCGCCCCCCGAACTTTGGCGCGCCCGTCACTTTCGCTCACCCCCCATGCTTTGGCGCGCCCCTCGCTTTCGCTCGGCCCCCGATCTCGGTCGCCCACCGCTTTCGCTCGCCCTCCACCGTTGCTCGCGCTTTCGCCCGTCCGCCCCCCGCTTTCGCTCGCCCCCCGCTGTCGCCCTCCCCTGGGGGGGGGGGGGGGGGGGGGGGCGAAAGCGAAGGGCGAAAGAAAGCGGGGGGCGAGAAACAATTGGGGGGTGAGCGGCAGCGACAGGCGAAAGAAAGCTAGGGGCGACCAAAAGCGGGGGGCGAGCGAAAGCGGGAAACGAGCCAAAACGATCTGAATGGGAGGCGCGCGAACGCGGGGGGCGAACCCGATCGGGGGGCGAGATCAAATTCTGGGGCGAGCGAAGGCTGGTGGGATAGCGAAAGCGGGGGGCGAGCGAAAGCGGGGGGCGAGCGAAAGCAGGGGGCGAGCGGAAGTCGGGGGGTGAGCAAACATGAAGGGCGAACGCAGGCGGGGGGCGAGCGAAAGCGGAAGGCTAGCGAAAGTGAGTGATAGGCGAGCGAAACTTGGGCACTGGCGGGAAGCGAGCGAAAGCGGCAAGCGAGCGAAAGCCGAGCGGCAGCGGGAGGCAATCGAAATTGTGGGGCGAACGAACCTAGCAGGCGAGCGTCAGTGGGAAGCGAGGACGCGCCCTCGATGTCGGACCCCTCGCCGCGCATCTTCACCACCAGCACGAGCACCGACCCACGCGACCACCCTCTCCGTCTCCCCCCCCCCCGTGCCCGGCAAGGCGTCACGGAGAAAATCACGCGAGGTCCCCCATTGCGGCCAGAAGCGCCGAAGGGTCTTCTCGAACATATCTACAGCTACACACAGCAAAACTGCACGTTATTGCGGGGACCAGGGGTGGCAATCACAATTAGATTTGGCGCGTCGGTCGGTCTGCGTGGACGGGCGCCGCCTCGCGACTCACGATGGAAGGCGACGGTCGTGCCGACGACGTTGCGTGCCAAGCGTGGAAGCGATCGCCATGTTTCACGGCGAGGCTTGGCGGCAGCCGCAAGACAAATCATAACGCGAACGAGCGTTTCACCTTCGGACGGGAAATCCGGCGCGAAGAAAAACTCGAAAGCGCGGGGGATCGGACCGCGGATTTGCTGCTGGGGCACAAGCGGGAGAGGGGGGCGGGCTGCGTGAAATCAAGGCCCCCAGGCATACGGCTGGCTTCGCTGAGCCAGGGGATGCGGGATGTCGGTGGGAAGCGGCCCAGGGGGCGGGGCCTCGGCGATGGGCAGCGCGGACAGCCGATGCTTCGCGAAAAAGGGTCACGCACAGAACGGCACCTAGCGGCCGGGGCGCGGCGCACGTTGGGAGCGCGAGCGGCGGCGCCCGACATGCACCCAGCCCCGCCGGCTAGGCGTAGCTCTATAAGTGCCCCGTTTTGCGAGAATGTCTCCGGCGAAACCAGCGCGCGCAGAACTACACCTAGTGCCTGGCTAAGTGTAGTTTTGAACGCGCTGGATGTCTCGCGCGAGGCGAGCACGCACAGACCTGCACCTAGCGAAAGGGGCGGGGTACAAGTCGGGCGCGTCGTCGCGCCCCGCCCGCAGAGTCAGGAAGGCAAGGGCCGCTGAACCCCTGCCGGCCTCCAGGCGGAGGTGCCTAACCGCCCCGAGGCTATCCGGAGGAATTCCTTCTGCGGCCTCCGCCCACATCGCCCCCCCTATCAGAGCATCTCGCCTGGTCACTATGTTCCCCATTCCCGCCCGTGGCTTTGCCCCCCCCCCCCCCCCCGTTCTTCCTTTACCTGCCGCCCTCCATTTCCCTGAGCGTTCCCCAGTTGCCCCTGGCCCCTGCGTGGCGGGAAACGCCCGCGCACCCCCGCTGGTGATTGACTCACCTTGCGCTCATCCTCCAATCCACTCGTGAGCCGCAAGTCTTGATTCCATCCTGACACTGGCAAGCGACGTCGAAGCCCCGGCTAATCCGACAGGCGCAATCAGTCCTCTCGAATGGCGGGCGAACCAATACGTAAGACGACGTCGCAAAAGTAAGTTTGGAATTTGGGGATCCGCGCAAGAAGCTAATCCGCTCGCCCAAAGTGTAGGTCTGCGCCTGCCCGATCTTCGCGCCCCCGCCCCCCGGCGCACACCCCCGCCCCCATCCGCCCCAAGAGGGGCAGAG